TCCTGTGGCACCTTTGAGACAAACAGAAGTTCTGGGAGCATAAGCTTTGGTGGGTAAGACCCTCTTTTCTTCAGTTGCAAGAAGTGGGTTTCTTCCCCACGAAAGCTTATGCTCCCAGTACTTCTGTTAGTCTCAAAGGTGCCACAGGACCCTCTGTTGCTTTTACAGATTCAGACTAACACGGCTACCCCTCTGATGATTGATGATGATGGTCACAAAGGACCTGTATAGAGCTAAGAAGCTAGTCTTCCCTGAGTGTATCTCTAGCAGGTTTCGATTCCTTTTGGGATGCTGGGGTGCAAGAGCTATAATTTATCCACTATCGGACTTTCATGCAATACTTTCATTTTGGTGTCAATTAACCTTAAATAGCCATCAATAAGTGAAACATCTAGCTAGCTATGGTATCTATAGAGCACAGGTCGCCATAGCGTGCAAATCACCCTGGTGTCTTTGACACCCAAGGTTAAAATTTGCATTTCAAAGCTGAGGGACTGAGAGATGGTGTCCTAGTAGTGCTGAAACCTGCGGCCATTTAGAACCAAGTGCCATATTCTTGGCTAGTACCCGAAGTGATGCTACACACCTTGTTGGTAGTCTCCTGCAGGCTAGACAAGATAGGCTTGGTTCTCCTTTGCAGTGTGGCCCCTTTGCACCTCTGTGGCAGACTAAGGACCTCTGAAGAGAGTGGTGGAGGGCATTACATTTCGGCTGCCAGAGTGGCGTAGTGGGAGGAGAATTAGCGTCAAGAAGAATCAGGCTGCTTAATCTTCAAGTTAGGCTACTCACGGTAAGTATCTTGTACGTGCTCCTCGTATCCTGAAGGATCTCCAAATACTTTGCAAACGTAACCAGCGGACCTCCAGTTATCGCACAGGGATCACGTCACCTGTCGTAACTGCATCAACAACACATGACACCCCTAAAGTATGGGACTGCACGTGAAGAATGTCTTCACCAATTAAAGCTTTCAGGGGGAAGACCAGCAGGTGGGCATGCTATAATTACCCAGGTTGCAATTTGGCCAGGACACTGGGGATACACCCCTTACTCTAGTGAAAAGCATCAGGAGATCTTTAATGGAGACTGTCTCATTCTGATGTGACACACCCCTTTTGCACAGCTGTCACTGACTACACAAGGTGCACTGCCTCCACTACGCTCTGAACATGAGCACCGCGTCCTTCAACACCTAGGGGGAGAGAGGAAATGTAGGGCCGCTGAATTCAGTCGGGGAGGCCCCTCTGTGAGAAGTAGTTGAGTACTCTGGAATGCCTAGGAGAGCATCCATAAGACAGAAACACCTGGCAGCTGGAACTAGGACTTTCTGCACCACATCAGGGACAGGACTGTAACACGGAGAAAAGGGTGGGTGTACTCGGGGAACGCCCATGGAGCGAAGAATGCTCCAATGACCAAGTGGCATAAAAGGTCAAAATCTTCAGGGCAGCCTGCACTTCATGGCTCTTGCTGTTATCATCAGGTTTGCTAACATACATAGCTGGACTCTTCTGTGGCAATTGTCTGTGTATGTGAGATATGAGGGCCAAAATCTCCATTACTAGCGGCAGCATCGCTGTGGGTGAGATTGCACCTCCATGACAGACCATCCAAGCAGGGCCGGCTCTAGGTTTTTTGCTGCCACAAGCAAAAAAAATTTTGGCTCGCCCCCCCCCCCCACTCGCCACCCTCCT